CCCCCAAAACCCCAAAACCCCAAAACCCCTAAATAAAACTTAATAATTGAGAAATTATCTTAACAAATATGAATACCCTAAATGAATCCTTAGAGGGGCTTAAAAGTGTTCATCTGTAAGATACTACAACAATAAGATAAAAAAGAACTCGAACAGCTGAATAAGGCTATAAAACTACATTTTAAACCTTTTAATTTTCCCTAAACCTGGTCAGACCCAGAACTATTCCATCTATGTGCAATCACCTCTTTCTTGAATGTCGTCTTCTAACCCATCTAGCGCGGGTTTAAAGCCCAAACTAGCCATTTTATCCCGCTTGAAAACCTCCAAAAATCCACTTCCCACATCATCCCTTCCAAATCCCAAAAAGTAACACAAATCTCTAAATTTCAGAATTCTGAAAATCATTTAAAAATAAGAAATTTCATCCAAAATACCCAAAAATTCAGATATTTTCCACTTAACTCCAGAAATGTCAACAAGCACCCTAGCTCATTCAACAAGAGGTATAAGTCCAAAAGCAGGAACACAACCTTTCCGGTACTTGACAAAAGCCAGTACGCGAACACACAGTACGGGAGGACTTGCTTTAAGGTATTTTCGGGCTTGCAAAGTATAGAATAATAAAGCCAAAATAAACATCATCCACAAGGTAATTAGGATGAGGACTTATAGATATACCAACACCAATCCCTTGACCGAAGCTCAACTGTTAGCATCCCCAAACGCAAGAAATATGCGAAGATTGCTTCAAATCAGAAGAGAAACCTTAGCTCAAGATTTGACAATATGGAGTCAGAACCTAGCTTATAGAAGCACAAACTTCACAATCAAGTGAGGAAGAACTCTATAAGCTTGATCCAAAATTCTACTGAGAGTCATTGAATGTCTTAAAACAGAAGAAAAAGCCAAGGAAGTTATGTAGAAATAAGTTCATTAAGAACAAAAATTCAACTACAAAAAGGACTAGCCGGAACGCTAATTTGACATTAAGCAGTTTAACAGCGATTGAATTAGCTGAAAGTATACTTTTTCCTAACTTTATAGAAATTCGAACAAAGAGTAAATCAATCAAAAGAAATACCGTAAAGTCTAAAAAATCAGGTAAGCTACATTGTAAAGTTGTACAGAAACCAAACTGCAAATATCCCAGAATTCTTCGAGTAAAAATATAAAACACACAAATAAGCCAATATTTCCTTTCGTATGGCTCTTAAGGTTACTTTTTAGACAGAGGAATTTCAGTCTAATAATCCCAGAAAGGTATGAACCTAAAAGTACATTATTACAGAACACAGCTCAAAAATACAAAAGCAGAATGATAAATATTAGTAAGCCGTATATGGCCAAAACATATTACCACAAGAAGAGTGAAAATACTTCTAAATTTTAGGTAATTCAAGGTCGAGACAGAATGATATAACACTTAACGAGAAAGGTATTCTATCCTTTATTGTTGCAAAGACTCAGAGAGCAACTCAGGATAGCCCAGATATTACAAAGGGTTCCAAATTTTTGCCTCTAATGAGGAAAGCAAGGCTCAAAAAGTTATAAGCCCCATTAACAATCCTAAGATTTGTTCAATATTCTCATAATTTTTAGGGGTTTTGGGGTTTTGGGGTTTTGGGG